AAGAAGAAGAAGAAGAAGAAGAAGAAGAAGAAGAAGAAGAAGAAGAAGAAGAAGAAGAAGAAGAAGAAGAAGAAGAAGAAAAAGAAGAAGAAAAGAAGGAAGCTTTAGGGTTACAGAAAAACCAAAACTAAAGCAGTGTCTCCCAGATCCCATTGCTACAACCTTCTTCGATCCACATCCCCCACCAAAGGGGCACTTGTTTCCAAGCAGGGCCCAGTGTCCACAGCTGACACCACGTGACATGTCCCCAGGCTGTGTGCATCTTGTGGGGTTGGCAAGTGGATGGCATGTGTCGGCAACACCAGTGTTCAGCAGTCTCACAGTCCTGGAAACCTCCGTAGCTGCGTGTTCACCTTGCTAGGAGCTGTGTCTCGGGGAAAGATGAATGCCAGCGGGGAAGTCCAGGCAGAATTTAAAGCTGCTGGACTCGGTCGAGAGGCAGCGCGACAGGAAAGCCCCGTGTTAAGGGAAGGCTGCCCTTGCGGTGGGGCCCGGGAAGAGGCTGGACTAGAAGTTAAGGGTGGAGGTGACCCCAGAGCGGCGTCGGGGTTGGGCCAGGGAAAGGAGCTTCGACCAGCTGAGCTCCTTCTCTGGCGCAACAGGCTACGGAGTCCTTTCACCAGCCACCACCCCCTCCAAAAGCCGGTGACAGGGGACTGCAGTGTGAGCAGCCTGCCTCTTTCCAGCCCCAGGTTCTGGCTCCTGGGTGACCCGTGGGTGACCCGAGGGACAAGGCGGTGCGGGTTGGTGCTGGAGTCGACCCGTCTGTCCAAGGGTTAACAGGAGGCTCCGCCGCCGCCTCGCGTGCCATGCGGAATCTCGCCAGAAGAGGGGACCGTGGAAAGCTCCTGACGTCAGGCTGGAATTCCTATTGTGCTTGGACCCGCTCGGGCACAGCTAGCGCATGTTGGCTCTGCGCGAACCTCAGCGCACAGTGTGGGTCCGGCGGCCGCACTCGCGCTTGGGTAAGAGGAAGGTGCTCGCGACCCACGCGAGGACCTCTACCCCCCGGATTCTGCTCTTGCTGCTGCTGCTAGAGGCCAAGCCAAAGCCGCAGATCGCGCAGCCCGAGAGCGGGTGAGTGCCCCAGGCGAGGCCACTCCCCCACCTCCAGCCCCTGTCTGCGCGCCCTGGGCGCACGGATGTGTGCGCGGAGCCTGGCCGCTGGGTGCATGCAGCCGCCGACTCTGCCGCGCGCCCCGGCCCGCTCCTACTCTCTGTGAGCCCCTTCAAGGCTCCTCGGGGTCTGCGCACCGAGGGACCCTCAGAAGCTCGCTCAGGTGGCGGGGCGTGCGCAGCCGGGGCCGGGAACGCTCGCGCCGGGAGCATGGACGGGGCCGGGGAGCGCAGCTTGGTGGAGCCGGACAGCCAGGGCTCGGCTGCCACCGGTGAGGACATCGAGATAGTGGTCAACGTGGGGGGCGTGCGGCAGGTGCTGTACGGAGACCTTCTCAGCCAGTATCCGGAGACCCGGTTGGCGGAGCTCATTAACTGCCTGGCAGGGGGCTACGACACCATCTTCTCCCTGTGTGATGATTATGATCCAGGCAAGCGCGAGTTCTACTTCGACAGGGACCCGGACGCGTTCAAGTGTGTCATCGAGGTGTACTATTTCGGGGAGGTGCACATGAAGAAGGGCATCTGCCCCATCTGCTTCAAGAACGAGATGGATTTTTGGAAGGTGGACCTCAAGTTCCTCGACGACTGTTGCAAAAGCCACCTGAGTGAGAAACGTGAAGAGCTGGAGGAGATCGCGCGCCGCGTGCAGCTCATCCTCGACGACCTGGGTGTGGACGCCGCCGAGGGCCGCTGGCGCCGCTGCCAGAAGTGTGTGTGGAAGTTCCTGGAGAAGCCTGAATCCTCGTGCCCAGCACGCGTGGTGGCCGTGCTGTCCTTCCTGCTCATCCTTGTGTCCTCGGTGGTCATGTGCATGGGGACCATCCCGGAGCTGCAGGTGACGGATGCGGAGGGCAACCGCATTGAGCACCCGACCCTGGAGAACGTGGAGACGGCGTGCATCGGTTGGTTCACGCTGGAGTACCTGTTGCGCCTTTTCTCCTCACCCAATAAGCTGCACTTCGCGCTGTCCTTCATGAACATCGTGGATGTGTTGGCCATCCTGCCCTTCTACGTCAGCCTCACGCTCACACACCTGGGTGCCCGCATGATGGAGCTCACCAATGTGCAGCAGGCGGTGCAGGCGCTGCGCATCATGCGCATCGCGCGCATCTTCAAGCTCGCTCGCCACTCCTCGGGGCTGCAGACCCTCACCTACGCTCTCAAGCGCAGCTTCAAGGAGCTGGGGCTGCTGCTCATGTACCTAGCTGTGGGCATCTTTGTTTTCTCTGCGCTGGGCTACACCATGGAACAGAGCCACCCTGAGACCCTGTTCAAGAGCATCCCCCAGTCCTTCTGGTGGGCCATCATCACTATGACGACAGTGGGCTATGGTGACATCTACCCCAAGACCACTCTGGGCAAGCTCAACGCAGCCATCAGCTTCCTGTGTGGGGTCATCGCCATTGCCCTGCCCATCCACCCCATCATCAACAACTTCGTGAGGTACTACAACAAGCAGCGGGTGCTGGAAACCGCGGCCAAGCATGAGCTGGAGCTCATGGAACTCAACTCCATTAGTGCAGGCGATGGCAAACCGGGCGGCTCCCGCAGTGACCTGGATACCCTGCCCCCAGAACCCACAGGGAGGGAGGCGCCAAGCTGGGGCAGCAGGCTGAAGCTCTCGCACAGCGACACCTTCATCCCCCTGCTGACTGAGGAAAAGCACCACAGGACCAGGCTGCAGAGCTGCAAGTGACTGAGGGTACCTGGCCAGGACAGCTGGGCCATGAGTAGGAACCGTGTGCTGGAGAAGGGCTGCCCAGTGTCCCCAGGCCTCCCCTGAACAGACCCCAGGGGCTCCTCTGCCAAGCAAGGCTGGGTAAGAGGGCGAGGCTGGGAAGGGAGGGTGCAGGGTCACAGGGCAGCGTGGAGCACATGGAGTGGCCCAGCTGGTGGCAGGGGCTGGTGCCAGCTCTGTCTCTTTGAATAAAGCCCCCGCTGCGTGCACCCTCTGTGTTGTGGGTTCTGTGTCACCAGGGCTGGCTGTCACCCTGACAGTGGCTCAGCCATACCCCAGGGCCAGGCTTGGAGGTAGGTGGGCAGGCTGGGTGGAGGGGGAGCTAGTTTTAGTCTGAAGCTAATTAAAAAGGGGCTCTGAGGTGGGCAGTGCAGAGCCAGTCTCCTGGCCACTTTCCTGGAGGTTCAGCAGGAGACATCCACTTTCTGGGGTGAGCCTGGCTCCCACCAACCCGTCGGGTTGGAGCGAGAGGGAGAAGCCACAGAGCCCACAGAACAGTGAGGTCACCACTTAATGGTTACCTGTGTGGGGTGTTTTGCACAACTTTTTGTCCTTTCCAGTGACCTTGCTAGATAAGTGTCCCATTTCACAGATGGAGATACTGAGGCCCAGGTCTCAGTCCTGAGTCTCTTCTTGGGATGCTGGTTGCCTTCAGCCACAGGCTCTGTTTGGGCTCATGAGGGGGCTTCAAGGAGAGGGGTTGAGGGTCCCTGTAACCCAGCCTACCCTTCTTTCCACCCCAGTTCCCAGGGGGAGACAGACAGACCTGATTTGAGCTCAGGGTGTGAGGACAAGATTGGAGGTATAGGAGCTTAAGGGCTTTTCCTAATGTATCTCTTCCACTGTTCTGTTAGCTGTGTGGCCTCAGGCCTGTTGACTAGCTTCACTGACTGTCATGACCTTAGAGAATGGCAGTTTAGCACAGCAGCTGCCATTTAGTAAGTGCTCATTCGAGGGCAGCTGGCTCTTTCTCTGAGCTTGGGAGGAGGTAGCAGCCCTGGCATCCACCTGAGCTTCCACAGATCTTGGCTGGATGGGCCAGATTCCAGATAGGATATTTTCACTAGCAAGTGGCAGTTGTCAGCTGGGGGGTCTTTGGAGGTGGAGGTCTTGGGGGAGGGCAGGGGTTATCTCTGTGTGCTCCCTGGACTGTAGATGGACAGAAACCATGGCAGGTGTAGGATGTCTGCACTCTTCCCGCTGTCTGGGGGGACTCTGAGCTCCTGTCACCTCTGTCTATCCAGGATAGGGCTGGATTCTCTGGTCATCAGAGGAGAGGTGAAGGCTTGGCAAATGGGAACACAGCAGGAAGGGGGGCTCTGGGCTTTGGGGGTGCTGCTGCTGAATGGGTGGGTACTTTTCTTTGTCCCCTTGGTCCTTAGAGCCCCTGGGAGCTGCCTGTGCTGGCCTGAGGGCTTGCAAAGAGAAGCCTCAGACAGGCAGGACAGGGAGGCTGGCATCTGGGATCTCACTTCTGGCTCCACAGCCATCTTGAAGTTTGGAAACTGAGTCCCAGGAGGGAAGCCATTGGTGTGAGATCCCCCTGGGTTAGGATTAGATAGGACCCCATCCTAGAGCTCAGTGGGGACAAATGAGCCTTACAGAGCAAATGGAGGAGCGACTGGGGGCTCTGGAGGTGGAGGGGCAGCGCTTGGTCTCTGGCATCTTTCTGAAGTTCTAGCACTTAAACTTGGTTGTGCATGAGAAGCCCCAGGGCAGCTTGGAGAACTCCTAGCAATAGGTTGTGCCCCATTCCTATTAAATTAGAATCCCTGGGGCTGACACTAAGTGTATACCCCGCATTTTTGTTTTTACCTTTTAAGTGCACATGAGTCACTGGAGTTCTGGTTAAAATGTAGATTTTGAATCTATGGAGTGGGGGGTGCCTTGTCATTTTCCCTTCCCAGCAAGTGCTCCTGAGGGGCTGGCACTAGGTCGAGGATGCCGAGGAGGAGTGGACAAGCTCCGGGTCCAAGGGCCACACTTGTCCCCCTTACCCCAACCTTCTGTCCATCCCATGAATTAAGAGTGGTCTTTATATTTTTTAATGGGTAGAAAAATCTCAAAAAAAGAATAACATTTTGTGACCAGAAAAAAGTACGTAAAATGCAAATTTCTGTGTCTGCAATAAAGTCTTGTTGGAATAGAGCTGCGTCTATTTATTTATCCTGGAATTTGGGGGAGATAGAACACAGAGGTGGAGACTGAGGCACAGAACTCCTCGCTGCCCCTTTGCCCTAGGAGTCCAGCTACGCTGGGCAGGCACATCCTTGAAGCTCAGAAGCAGGTAGGGGCCTGTGGGAAGTGGAGGGAAAGAACCTCCAAGAATGGCGGGACGAGGAGGATGGGGTGGACAGCCAGTGCAGAGGGAGGTGCACCTGCTGCCCCTGCCCCAAGGCCTCATCTCAGGGCTCACAGATCCCTTCTTCGTGTCCTCCCAGGGCCCTTGTGCCTGTGGTCCCAGATCTCCTTATTCAAGGTCCCCTCAGGTATAGCAAGCAATTTCACTCCAGCTTCTAAACGGTTGCAGGTGAAACACAGGTCATCCTCATCTTTACAAAGGAGAAGACTAAGGCCCAGAAGGCAGGAGCCATAGGCCATTGCTGCTGGTAGGGGACCAGATGGGTGCCCTTCCAGTCCCTCCTCAGGGGTGACCCCTGTACCCTGAAGAGATGGCTTCTGTCTCTCTGGAAGGTATTCCATAGGGACCAGTGCTGGTTTAGGTGGTGTGTGTTGAGGAAAGAGAGAGATGTGTTTCCTCCTGCATGGTGATGTTTGGGGCTACTTGCTGGGTTGTGCAGGGTTCAGGTTCCATCCTGGCCTTTGTGGGAGGCATGAGAAGTACCTGAGGCTCTGGTCCCCCTCTGATACCTGGGGTACTACCTCAGACAGAGCGCACGGGGTTCTGAGAAGGCTAAGACTGGGATAATTGCACCTGTGCTCTCTGGTGGGGGACTAGAAGGCCCCCAGTGCAGGCCCTGCTTATGGTCACCTATTCACATCTTGCCAGCGCTCTGGCATCTTCTAGGCCTGCCCGAGAGGCTGCCTGCCCCTCCCAGGGCCCCAGGAGGTGAACTCAGCATCTGTGTCTCCTGGAATCTCCAGGGAGATGAGAGAGGAGATGGTTGCAGATCTTCCCACCCGCGCCCGTGGGAAGGCAGCTCTGGCACCAGGCACCTGGCAACATTTGGGGATGTCGCTGACACCTGTCATCCATGGTGGGAGTTCCTCCGAAATCCTTTCCTCCACTCCATGCAGCTCAAGATGGGGTTGTGGACATGGTGTGGGTTTCTAAGGAAAATTCTGAATGAGCCCCAGAGGCCTCTGAGCCTTGTCTATTTCCGAGGTGTTCTCTGCCCACCGGTGTGACAAGGGTCACCTGGCTCTGTCTCACTCTTCCAAGATTGGGAGGTGTGCTTGCCATGGTGGGACCCCGAGTCCTGAGTGCTGCCAGAAATTGCCTTTGGTCATGCAACTAAGGAGGGGGCTGTGTGCCTGAGCAACCACAAAACATGTTCCCTGGGCAGCCATACCCTACTCCAGGACAGGCTGACTGCTGTCGGGGGCACAGCTGGGCACATGGGGGCTGTGCGAGCCACAGTCACAGTGAGACCACGATGAGAGCTTTGTGCTAGCGCGCTGCAGTCAGGCTATGCTGTCAGGATTTTTGACTGAATGTTTATACCTTGTTTTCTTTGCTTTTTGGGTTAGTATATGGTGTTTTCTTGGGGGGGTGTTTTGTTTTGTTTTGTGATACAGGGTCTCACCACACAGCTCAGATTTGCCTGGTTTCTATGGCTGGCATGACGCACCCAGGGTTCTGGGACTGGCACAGCATGCAGTACTGGGGGTCGAACTTGGGTCCTTGTGCTTCCCATGCAGGCACTTATGCCACTGAACTATCTCCCCAGTCCTGGATTAGTACATGTTTGTGATGCATAATAATTCATTCCTGGGCTGGGGACATGGCTCAGTGGAATAAGCGCTTCCCTGGCAAACATAAGGGCCTGCGTTCAATCCCTGGTTCCACAAAAAAAAAAAAAAAAAAAAAAAATTCATTCCTTTGGGTGATCATATATATATATATATATATATATATATATATATATATGTAATTTATATATTATTATTTTTTCTTGTCTTAGCTACTTTCCTTTTGCTGAGACAAAATACCTGACACCCGTAACTTAAAGGAAGAGCGGTTTATTTTGGCTCAGATTTCAGTCGTAGTCTGCTGGCTCCAAGGCAGGGCGCATGGCACAGGGTCCTGGCGGAGGATAGCTGCTCACACAATGGGTCACCGGAAGTGGAGAGAGAAGAGAGGTGTGAAGGAGCGGATAAACCCTTCCAGGCCACGCCCCCAAGTCCGCCTCTACCAATCAGGCCCCACCTCCTAACCGCAAGGCCGCCTCTTCATTGTCCAATCAGCTTCCAGAAGCCCCTCCTAAGAGCCAGGCTGCTTTGGGCATATGGGATCTGAACCAGAACATTGGTTTAGTTCAGCTGCTCTGACCAGGCTTGGAAGGCAGGCCCTGGGGGAGGCTCTGACGGAGACTCTAGTGCTGGGTTCCAGGTCAGCTGCCCACATGTGCCCTAGGACCAGCTATAGCCAGCTCCTTTTCCCTCCCTTTCTGTCCCATCCCTGCTCCAGCTGTTCAGGGCTCCTGCTCTCTGCTTCCTGTGCTAGAGGCCGCCCCTTGCACAGTCCGGCTTGTGTTTGTGTGGTTCTTAGTTACACAGTCGTGCTCTGTCTCCCTCACCAGACTGTCACCTCTGTGCGGATGGAGGAGACGGGTCGGGGTGACGGCTGAGACCCTGGTAGTCTGCACAGGGTCACACAGTCTGTACTCAGCGAATGCACAGTAAGTGGCTGTTTTGCAGCACGTGGACTTTCATCTCTCCCTTCCACTTCCTGAGTGCTGGGTTGTGCCTCCCCAGCCATTCCCCGGATGCACCTCTCATTCAGCTCCCCAGCCTTTAAAGGTCTATTCCTCCACACTCTGCATTCAGCCTTTAGTAATTTCTCTACTGTGCCACTCAGCTGATGACAAACAAATTTAAACCAATAAGCAGCAATGTTTTTATTATTGTGTGATACTAGAAATTGAACCCAGGGTCATTGCACTAAGCTACACTCCCCATCCTTTTTTATTGTTTTACTTTGAGACAGCGTCTTGTCAAGTTGCTAAGTTTCCTGGCTTGGGTTCAAACTTGGTGACATTCCTGCCTCAGCCTCCTAGAGTGCTGGGATCACAGACTAGCATGTTTGAGGCTTTCATTACATGACTATTCCTTGCTGCAATCTTAGAGAAAGAAGTGGAGCCCGAAGTCCCTGGGCAAAAGGGCAGTGAGTTATTTTCAGACATGCAGGGCGTAGTTCTCAGGCATGCAGCTGCTAGTGCGCTTTGTCCTGACTGTGGGGGCCTCCCCACTGCTTGCTCACAGCCCTGGCTCAACATGCAGGAGCTGTTGGCCCGGAGGCTTTCCATGCAGCCTTGTCTCCTCCCTGCGTGCACGTGTGACAGCGTCTCAATAGTGGCTGCACCTTGTCCCCTGCCAGGTTGCCTTTGGTCGCCCATCCTGAAGCCAGCTTGCTTTCTGACTATCTGCGAGTGTGTGCGTGTATTTTAGTTGTTTCTGGGCAGCTTCTCATGCATATTCAAACCCAGGCTGCCAGGGCTCCTGGATGATTCAGATGTTTGTTGCTCCGTGTAACTGATCTTAATATAGGCATGCCCAGAGGAGGCACACGGGCTCCTTTGCCCCCTGCAACCTGCTGGGCCAGGGAGGACCCACAAACCTAACCCACTTCCTCTCCACAGAGCCTGAGCCTGCTGGGCTGAGCAGAACTTGGGTTTCTCTGGCTTTTGCTTGCCTCCACCCCACCCCCATACTAAGGATGAAACCTAGGGCCTTCATGCAAGCTGCAGCCCCAGCCCCACTATTTATGTATTTAATTTTGGGAGGAGGTCTTGCTGAGTTACTAAGTAACCTAGGCTGGGCTTGAAATTTCAGTAGTCTTGCCTCAGCCTCCAAGACGGCTGGGATCACAGGCCAGGCTTGTTTTACTTCACCCATCATCTTTTTGATGGACTTGAAGCCTAGAGGGGAAGCCTAGGGAGGCCAAGCATGTCACTGAGCTATAGGGAGGGACACTTCTTTCCCCTGAGCTTCTTGTGGGCCAGTGTGGTCTGGGGAGGTAGCGAAGTGACAGTGGAGGCTATAAGTTGCATGAGGGGAGCAGAGCCACTGTCTTGGGAACACTCTGGGTTTATGTCCTCCCTGTACCTCTTCCCAGCTATGAGGGCTGGGCACCCCTTAAATCCTTCCTTGGGTGTCTTGGGAACAGCCATCCCTCCTCACAGTGACACTATGTGCAGTTCCTGGAGACTCTTATAATGGTGTCCCCTGATGACTTGTCTGGGGCCAGGTCATTGCCAGGAGTGACCACAAGACAGACCAAGGCCAAGTCTGCCTATAACATGGTGCCCACTGGTCCTTGCCATCAGCTGCCAGGGCAGGGAAGGTACCAGCGGTGGGTGAAGAGGGAGTAGCAGGGAGTCCTGTGGGGATGCTGAGGGGCTCGTGGGTAGTGCCAAGGCAGACATGCATGGCCAGTCACAAGCAGAGTCACAGGCCACTGCTGGAGCCTCTGGGTCCTGTGAGTCTCCAGTGTGTGTGGCTCCTAGCCAACGCTGGATGACCTCAGAAGACCCTGGGAACCTCTATTTCCACTACTGTCCCATCCCACTTGACACAGGCTTGCCTCACATCTCCAGAGCGTGTGTGTGGGATCAAAGAGAGGGTGAGTGTGTGGATTAATATTCCTGAGGCAGCTCTGGAGTTCTCCTTTGTGAGTATCTTTGTGGATGTCCCAAGTTGAGTCAAAAGGTTTAGTTTCTGTTCAATAAGAACACAATGCTGCATCCTCATCCAACTTAGCCAGGGCCCTTGCCTACTCAGTTGCTTGAAGCACTGCTTGGGCAAATGCATTCAGACGCATAGGACCATGGTTTGATTCCCAGCTCTGGAAGCTGCACCAGACCGGCCCTTAAGGCAGCCTGAAGCAGCAAAGAAAAAAAGAAATCCTTCTCATCCACCTTAGCCATCAGATTTGGCATGGTGCGACTTCCAACTCTTCCTTCCCC